CTTTTTTTACTTTGCATTTTGCGAAACACAAAGAAAAACATCTAAAATGTAAGCGAATTTGCAAGTTTTTGAGTTGTTTTTATTTTCAGTGCTCAGGCTGACGTAAGTGACCGGAAGTGAAATTTCACCTCCTTAGCAACGCGCGCGAGCGCGCGCATGAATCGGTTAATGGGCCCTTAAGTTGTACTGATAATAGCTTTGTCTTCATCTTTGTAGCTTTCCATTCATCATTTCAACCGCGCGACCCTCCGTAAAGTCCAAACACGTGATCACAGTCAGCCAATGGTCGAGGAGGACAAAGATTACGAGGGTGACGTGAGCAGCGAAGATGACAAGGACGATGCCATCACGTGATAGTAACGAGTCTAACGCAAGTGACCCTCAGGGGAGCCATGTGATGTCAGCATCAAGAAATGGCGAAAAGTCGCACTTATCCTTAATCCTGGATTCTGTGGCTTGATAAATGGTGTGCATTTGAAGTGTGCATTTGTAGTTCTGTTGGTCGATGTACGTCGTCAACGGCTTTGTGGACACGAGTACCAAATAATTAATGAACATATTTCTCTTTCCGAGAAACCAAAGGAAATTTCTCTTGGACAGTATGGAGTATTATGGGTCGCCGCTGTTTGAAACAAGTGCGACTAGTTGATTAAAATGCGTTCAAAGAACGCATCAATTATTATAAAGCTTATTGTTTACGTGTTAATTGTGTTTACTGAAATGGTGTTGTTTTTTTGTTGCTAGTTGTTTTTTTTTCCGCAGAGTTTTCGGATATCCGTAATTTTGATTGATTTGCGGTTTTATTTGCGTGTTTCTTCATGTTGAAATCTAAAATAAAAAAGCATTTTATGCTATCGTGCTGTTGGTATGATGCGAAAAGTGGTAGCAAAGAATTTTTATAACTGGTCTGACCTGTTTGCTCTTATTGGAAATTTCCAAGACTGATGAAAATTTTAACTTTCTAGAGAAGTCTTTTTTTTTCCCCACATCACCACGAGCCTACGTTGGTAATTATTTGTCTACTTTATGATACACTCGTGGGATGCATTACCTGGCGTGGCAAAATGTCGATATCTCGCCTTGATTTGCTTTACTGAGGCGTTCGTCATAGAAAACATCTGTGCGAGGTGATTGAAGGCGCAACTTCCTTCGGTCGCCTTCCATGCTATTTTACGCCTGCATTCATGTCACTCAGCGGATATCTCCACAAGAAAATCCCCCCTTTACCACGGGAGAGCCCAACGGCCCCAGGCTCGGATAAATTCGTAAATTATGTTTCAGATCTTCCCGTAGAGTGGAGTAGTTAGCTTGCAGAGCAACAAACGACAAATGAAGAGAGGAAAGAGCGTCTTCTTTTATCACTCGCCGTTTGTCGTGCTGCTATCCAGGGCCGGGTTGTTCAAAAGCGCGATTAAGTTAACCCAGGATTAGTAAGAATTTTGATTTCACTGAGTTTTGTAACTTTTCGGTGAGGTTTTCTGGTTGGTCTTGGTTTAAATGCGTCAACCAACTGAATATTCCGCAGCAAAAACGAGGGAATAGCTGAGTGATATTCCCCAATTTTCAAAACTGCGCGTGTTACGAAAAATATTTGAAGGATAATAACATAGGTCACCTTATCGACGTAAAAAACAGCGTAAATTTTGTTGGTGCGTTAATATGTACGTTACGTTAATTGCCCTCGTCGCTTGGCGACTCGGGCAATTTTATGAAAACTTTGAAAATACGTGAGTAATTAATCCTTTTAAAATTTCCCTCTGGCCCATGCGATTACTTAATGTGATATATAGCCTGCCAGGGCCATAGCTAGAAACAGGCAAAACATGGCACGTACCTCAGTCATTGTTTTTCGTTTTTGTTGCTTATGATAGTCATCATAAACACCCTAAATAGAGAATTTAACCATGGTCCTTCCCTCGGTCACAATTTTTTCATGGACATTGCTGTCCTATCTTGTCTCAGTCATACTTTTTTTTTTCTGGCTGCAGCACTGAAAAGCCAGGCTTTCCAACTTGTCGTGGTTTTCCTGGTTTGGGTTTCACCATAGTTAGTGGAGGGGACTACTAACTATGGTTTCACGAAATTAGATTGCGCGGGAAAGCGTTTTGAGAAAGAAGGATTGGGTTTTGGCGCGGCTCAAAGTATCTGGTGGTAAACTGGTTCCAAGGTATTGTAACAACATGGCGGCTTGCAGACAAAGTTTCATTTATTTCCAGTATTGATCCAAATTTGAAGGTAAGTGACGCTTGGAAATGCTTTGAGCCATATGTGAGATCAAACGTTATTTTCTTAAATCGATGATCTACACTTTTGGAGCTTTAAAAGCTGTAACCACATTGAATGATACCGGTTTCGCCCCATGGCCAGTTCGCCCCCACTATAACATTTCTATTTCGAGTTCTCCCCCAACTTTTCGAGTTCACCCTAAAATTTTGTGTCCGTGTTTACGTAGTTGTCATCGAGTTATTAAACATTTTCGAAGAACCATTTCAGTCTATGTATGTTTTTGCCATCTCGCCATCAGGGAGTCTCGCTACCAACGAACTCCCGGTCGTCACCAAGCGAAGTCACCTCGCCACCAAGCGAAGTTTCCTCGCCACCAATAATCTAATAAGGCAGTGGATAAAAGAACGAGCAATAATCTCTATATGCGACTCGATCTGGTTGGGGGCGAACTCGATCAAGTTGAGTCGATGTGGGAGTGAACTCGGTGGGGAAGAATTCGCCATGGTGCGAAACCGGCAGCTACCCCACATTTATGCACAGTCAGTAAAAAGAAGCTGAAAGAAGACCAAACTTGTTTAGTCAACATTACGTAGTTTTCGTGTTTAAAGACCTGTTCAAACAGTCATGATAGTTGACTGAAGTTGATGATAGTTTCAACTATCACGCACGTTTTGAACAGGCTTTAACTTAATCTTAAGTTACTATAGCTTTTAAATGAAGAAAATCTAAACGAAGATAAGTTTGATGAAAAAAGATGGAATGAAAATGATGAGGATGACCATACAACTGTATGACCCACTAGATTTTATAAGTAATTACTGAAGGCTGTTTTTGACGGGCACAAATGTGTTTTTCTGGGGGCCAGCAGGAGCGTACAAATAACCATTGACATTTTCGTATGTGAATGTGTAAGCTTGACTTAACAAGATCACTCTCTAAGACAACACATTTTCTCGGATGGACTCAAGGGGGATAATTTTTGGAAGAAATAGCATTGTTCATTGCCTCTAATTTGTGAGAATAAAGTGCAAACAAAAAGATAAGAGAAAGATTAGCCTAACTTGTCTGCTTTGTTATTTTGCTCAAGTCAGTAGTCCTCCTGTACTATGCTTAAACAATTTTATGATCTCACTAATCTAATTGTTAGCTACTTGTCATCTGTTCGTTATTTGTATAGAGTGAGATGTCAATGAACGAACCCCTCTGGATCCTAATTGATTTATTGCTTTCCATGAAAACAAAAATTCTACATCAAGCCATTGGCCTATACAGCTGGTGCACGAAGTGACTAGGAATATTTCTACTCTCCACTGGATGGGATGCTGGTCCATTGCTAATCCATTACACCCCATCATTAAATTTGCCAGTACCCATTTATACACCTGGGTGGAGAGAGGCACTGTCAGAGTTAAGTGTCATGACCAATAAAACACAACATCCCCAGCCAGGGCTCGAGCTGGGACCACTCTATCTGGACTCCCTCATGCTACACCTGGGTGGAGAGAGAGGTGCTGTAAGAGTAAAGTGTCTTACCCAAGAACATAACACAATGTCCCTGGGCAGGGCTCATCATCCCAGATCATTTGATCTGGAGTCCAGCTTGCTAACCTAGACCACCATGGCTTTAGTCATGAAAACAAGGAGTATTCAAACAGACAGACTGAATGTTTATGTATTTGTTTTCAGAATCATGCAAACAACTGAGAGCAGTGAGCAAGGCATTTACCTAACATCCATCAAAACCTTTGAAAAGAAGAAAATCCCAGAGGAACACTGCTATGGCAACTGTAGACCAGTCACTGAGTTTGAAAAACTCAACCGAATTGGTGAAGGAACATATGGTGTGGTTTACCGTGCTCACGACACAGTCTCCAACAAAATAGTCGCCCTGAAGAAAGTGCGGATGGAGAGAGAAAAAGATGGGATTCCCCTGAGTGGGTTACGGGAAATAAGTTTGTTGTTAAATCTGGAGCACAAAAATATTGTGCAGCTTACAGAAGTAGCTGTAGGGAAGCACTTGGATAGCATATTTCTTGTCATGGAATACTGCGAACAGGACCTAGCAAGCTTGCTGGACAACATGTCATCGCCATTTAAAGAAGCGCAGATCAAATGTTTGATGTTACAGCTGTTCCGTGGTGTTCAATATCTTCATGAGCGGTTTATTGTGCATCGTGATTTGAAGGTGTCAAATCTGTTGTTAAATGGGAAAGGAATTCTTAAAATAGGTGAGTGAGAATGTCTGATACTTTTCTATTTTTAGCATTTAAACCTCTTGAATATTCTTCATTGTAACTGTTCTCAATACATTTAAATAGTTCATAATGTTGACCTTTCAACATCAGATTTCTGAAATTATCATTGTTTAAAGCAATATGGCTAAGTCGGCATATGAGCCAGGGGAACATCAGGGCAGCGATTTTTTCCCATTTCAGTAGCATGAAGCAACTGGGAGTATTTCTACTCCCCCATGGATGGGATGCTAGTCCATCCAGGGTTACCCCCAACATTTAATTTGGCAGTGCCCATTTATATACCTGGGTGGATAGAGGCACTGTAAAAGTAAAGTGTCTTGACCCAGAACACAAAACAATGTCCCTGACCAGGGCTGTAACCCAGACTGCTTGATCTGGCGGCAAGGGCACTAACCATGAGGCCACTGAAATATGGAAAGCAATTGCATATAGGTTATGAAAGTGGCTAACAGTGCTTGAAATAAATTTTGTGTAGGTTGTTGACAGATTACTGTTTCTGTGTCCAGAGACCAGCAAAATAAATGTAGCATTGGTACATAATATTATTTCCAATCTGTAGTGTAGTAAAGCCAAGATGATGTCTTTTCTTCAGGGCTGTACACAATTAAACAGCATCAAAAATTAAGTTGCCTTTTCTGTTTGTGTTGCTTGTTTTTTTTTTTTTTTTTTTTTGTCTGCTCACTTATTGATTTTAATTTATTTTTTCTTTAGCCGACTTTGGTCTGGCACGTACCTTTGGTTACCCTTACAAGCCAATGACTCCAGTTGTTGTCACACTATGGTATCGTGCCCCTGAGCTCCTCTTAGGCTCCAAAGTACAAACCACAGCAGTGGACATGTGGGCTGTGGGCTGCATCTTTGGTGAACTGATCGGCAACAAGCCGCTAATGACTGGCTCATCAGAGATTAATCAGTTTCAACTTATTGTAGACTTACTGGGGACACCGAGTGACCAGCTTTGGCCAGGGTTTTCGAGCCTCCCTGGGGCTAAGTCAATAAATGTCAAACGCCAACCTTACAATAATCTCAAGCACAAATTCTCGTGGTTGAGTCCTGCGGGACTGACCCTGATCAATCATTTGTTGATGTACGACCCGTGCAAAAGAGCCACGGCAGCTGAATGCTTGCAGAACTCGTATTTTATTGAGAAGCCATTTCCAGTTCAACCGGATATGATGCCAACCTTTCCTGAGCACCGTAACAGGGACTACAGCAAGAGACCATCAGATAGTCAAGCTGGGGAGAAACGGCCAGTGCCCCAGGACACAGAACATGAGTTTCGAAGAGGGTTTGCTGATTTTGGGCCTCAGTTACCACAAAGAAAGAAGAGGAAATAAAAACTAGTAGGAGATATAATTTGTGTTTCCTAAATATGAATAAGAATGATAATAAAAAGGTTTCTGTTTCATGGAGAGTTCAGATCCTTATGACTGGTGTTCAGTAAACCAGAAAGAGGGGGACTCCATAATTTGTCCAAATTATTAATGCCCTGGCAATTCTATCAAACTGTACCTGTAGTTCAGAGAGGAAAGCTCCGTTGACCTTGAAGGAAGGGGCATAATTAACAGGGAGCTTTAGATGCAGGAAATAATTTCACTTGTATTTTGTCAAAATTCAAATGATTTCCATTGCCCAAAGGCTTGGGAAATTACTAGAATTTGACAAAACACAAGTGAAATTATTTCCTAATTTCACTCATCACCATTTGATTAGCCATACATATTGTTAAAAAAATCACCTAATCTTTGAATAGGACATGAGAGGGCTTATCAAAAAAGAAAGCCCAATATTTGTGATTGACATCTCATTTCTCCTGACAAATTTTGAGGAGAATGAAAAAAATCATCTGGTAGAGGATAATGTCAATGATGTCACAACAATGTATGGCAGTCAATAGAGCGAAAACATTTCTAGAAAGGTCAAAGTAAAACTAGCCGATGACTGGAATATAGAGTACAATATGTTAACAAGCATGGTAACGGACATCATTTGTCAAAGTCACTCGTTCAGAGTGCATGGGTCAGGGGTCGTAATGGTCAGCGGATCAGATTTGATAGATTAAAATATCTTGTTATAAAATTAACAAATTGACGTCAGTTTTTTATGCGTCTGACTTCTTATTGATGATAAATTGTGGCAAAACATTGTCAACAGTGGTTCCGCAGTAAACTTTGACAATGTTATGTCAAAATTTATCATCAATAAGAGGACAGACGCGTAAAAAACTGATGTCAATTTGTTTTTTACAATACCAAGACCCCAAACTGGTCAAATGCCGGGAATAAATGAGGGGAAAAGACGCATAAACTTGCCGTAAACAAAGATAAGTGAATTTTATTCAAAATGACGCGAACATTGTCAATAGCTTTTCTCGCTTTTTGATTGGCTACTTTAAAAAGTCCATAAAATCTTATTGGTTAAAAAAGTTGACAGTTTGACAGCTGAAATTTGAACTGAAAAGCTTGCATAAATTAAAATTTTATCCGTCTACTCTTATTGGTGATAAAAATGAGCCAATCAGCGCGCGAGGAATTAGACAGTTATTGTAAAACAGTTGATTTATGGTTTTAGCTGCGCATCAGCGAGTTTATGATACATTCGAGAAGTGTGGAGAGCACTCGGAAAGCTTGAGTTGGGGTAGCAACATATTTTTATCAGAATTAATTCATAGTTTTCCGCTGCAAATCAAAACAGACATGAACAGGTCAGACCATTCAAGTTCAAGTTGGACTTAACGTAAATTTGAAAGCACGGAAAATAACAATTAACTGAAAAACATATGACTTGGACTCGTGAAAATATGCCAAATATGCAAGTGCAGGAAAATTTGCGTATGGGTAGTTTGTAATAACTTCTGACGTCATAAAAACCACAAAAACTCTGCCAATTTTTTTCAACATTCTGTTCTTTTCTTTTGCCATCTACTAATATACTTGCGGTTTACCAGTAATTTGAAGTATCTTCCTAACACCCTGACTGCTATTAAACATTCGAAAAAATATATCCCCTAAATAAAGCTACAACGAGCAATCATGTCATTCTAACATGATGGAGCACCCCCTCCCCCCCCCCCCCAATCAAACAGGTCTAGACGTAGTACTAGTCACTACTGGGAATAAATGATTCTGAATGTGTCTGAGTGTTGACAAGTTCCTATCATTTCCCTTCTCCGCTGAACGTCATGGGGGAACGCCGCTTCCACATGCAACTGCAATGCACTTTACTCACATTGGTCAATTCACGACCTTTCACGTGATATTACCCCTATCGTTAGGATATTTGTTACATCAGTGGAAATTGTCGCCATGGTTACGGTAAGCTAATCCTTGGAGTTATCTGTCAAGACACGATTTTATTTTACACTTTGAGTGTCATCCATCTCTTAGAACAAACAAAACTGAAAAAGCTTTTCTCATCTGTTCTCGGAAAGTTAAAATTGCCGTTAATGATGGCAGTTTTTATGCCTTTTTATAACCACCTTTCGACCGATTCAGCTAAAATTTGCTGAAATCTTCCCAGATAGCTGCTCAGAGAGGGGATGTCTGATTTTTGAACTTCGATTGAATTTTTAATTATTTAAAACGTTGTGGCTCTGTCAGGGATGTCTCAATGTAATTGCTAGAAAATTAGAAAGTTGATTATCTCTGCGAGATCGGAGACATGCCCCTTTTGAAGGTCATCAGGTAGTCATTGTGCAACGAACCATTTTTTTCTTTTTCTTTTCTTTTTTGCGGCCAAGAAATCGAAGCTTGTAAACAACTGAAACTTGATCAGCGCGGAAGCTTAATTATTGCCTCGTTCTGCAAAACTCTAATTCTCCCAAGAAAAAATAAACGTAGTATGATTTCCTTGTTTATTGAGCTTTCAGGAAGTGTACACTTTTAATGTACGGTTCTGCTTTCAAAGCCTCCGCACAAACGTTTGTTTCGTGAAACCTTGACATAACTGACAAATGTTATGCTATCTTCAGCCCGTTTTATATGATTTCCTTTTGCAGCTCAGTGTAGGGCGGAAAAGTAATTTCTCAGTTTTCAATTTGTAGATTTTACACGTCGCTGTGTCTTTGGTTGTGAATTTATTTAAGAAACAACCTTATATAAGCAACCTGGATGCAAGCGATACTTAACATACTGCATATATTGACTAGGCATTTTTTTCTTTTGACGCAGCTAATTCAGTGCTCACAGGAATATTGCCCTAACACGAGACGAGAGGGTCAGATGACATACAGACTTAAGAATAACTCGGGGCGACTGTTTCTCCATCCCTGGGTCGACGGTAAGCGTTAGTTGATAATTTAGGGCGTTGAATAATGAAGAATATCGCATTGGGCGTTTTGATCTTCTTCTGTGTGACCCATGGTTTCACTGCGAGTCAGAAGGCCGCCAAACAAAGACGTCTGCGAAGAGAACAACCAACAGGTAAGTCTCACATCATTCAATTATGATACGCCATTACACTGCTAGAGCTGCACGAAAGAGGATCGAATCGTGGGCGCTTAGAGACGCTGGATTCGATACGGATTTCATTGTAGTATGGACATGAAAAAATAAAAGCGCTTTACGTTCCGTACAGGTTTTCAAAACGTGATTTCAGTCAACGGAGTAAAACCCTGGAATTGGAACAGTGCGTATACCATACCATACATACCACCGACACACCCCACTCAGGAAAAGCGTGGAGTAAAAATGACTAAATTTAAATAAATAGATTTGAAAATAACTTTGAAATTGACCTATACGCAATATACTTCACTCGAGGTATATACACGGGATTCGAATCAGGCTCGCACGCTGACTTTACCATTGCCCTACGCATGCAAGGAGATATTTACAATTTTAAGATTCACGAAGGTTAGATATTTAATAACAAGTAGTGCACTTTATAAATCGGTCAACGAAATCTATGTACGAAGAATCTGTCGACCTTGGTTTGTTCTTTTCTACTAGAACCAATATTTTAACGAGCTGGCAACAAGTCTTGGCTCAGGATGCGAATGTTCTCGACCTTTTTTCTAGCTCGTGACGTTCACAATTCGTAAATACCAGTAAATCGAAATATTACGTCCCGTCTTTTCTTGAATAGAGCTGTAACTGGCCTTAATTCGTATTAAAGTATAAACGTATCTTGAATTCGTATAATTTATATAAACGTCATAAATGCAATCTCAGAATTTGTTTAAATAAAGAATGACACGAGTGATGTCTGAAAGTCTAAACTCTAGTGAATATGCAGTCGGAACTCAGAGTCTAACAGTCCAAGACCGTATGGGCGGGTCCGCCCCCGGGGTCCGCCCCTGCGAGTACTTGACTCTGTGGGAATAAACTGCGAAGCTCTATCACCCAATCCAGGTACGTGGAGTAGAAGTTCCAAGTCATTTTATACTCCCGGCAAACCAAGATAAGCCTCTCCAGAATATATGGATCAGTTTGGCCGGGAAGGCTCCTCTCCATGGACCATGGGAAGATGAGAACTAATAGGCCACTTTCGATAAATTAAAATTCAGCTTGATAGTGTGGCCTAGAAGACGCACTGAAACAAAAGAAATGAATAAACACAGTCATTCAATTTCCTTTTTTGTGTGTCCTCTAGGCGTCACTGCCAAGCTGAATTTTAATATATCGAAAGTGGTGTATTGCTCTCTCAGGTTCTCTTCGTTGTCCAGTTGTTATGGAAAACGCGAGCGTCTTTTGAGTTCTTTAGTAAAAAATACTTTAATTTCAGCGATATCATTTTTTTTGTGTGTGTTATTTTTCCTAACAGGCTAAAATGTGCGGAATGGGCAAAAATATTTAGTATTATATGATATATGTTCTATTTATTGCAATAAAAGAAAATCTACTTTAAAGTGTATTTTGAAAGTAAACGCTATGTATATATTACATTTTGAATCTTAATTAGACATCTTGAGAAAGTCGAAACATTTTTTGTTATCGCTTATTTTCTGATTGAAACGTTTTGTTTTTGTGCTTTTCCGTTTTGCTAGCGCCTCCCAATACAACTACCGTTTACACCAAGCATGACGACATCGCTCATTTCACGTGCACAACACGTGACGAGGCAACCATTATATGGAAAAGAGAGAGAACGGAACTAGAGAACGCTGACCTGGGAGTAGAGATACTATCAATTCAAAATGGCGACACTTTGAAAAGCCATTTATTTATTGCTATCACAGATGACGATTTACGAGGAAAATATACATGTACGTCGAGCGACGAACCTGATGTGACGCTACAAGCTTTTATTATTGAAAGTAAGACAGAAAATCAATCATTTCTCCTCTACTGAGTAGCATTTATCGAACATTTACTCTATTTTTCTATAGTTTTAGCTACAGAAATTCGAATTCTCTGATCCAGAAGAAGGTCAACTATTATAGAAGCACAAGTTGTCGTCTAAATCACCTAATAATTGTAAAAATTTTCTTAGGCCTTCCCATCTTCTGCGTGGACTAAAATTCATTACACTCCCTCAATAATCTGTTTAGTCTTCTCTGGGTTGTTTTGCATTACTTAAACAACATGTAAGTAAAATAAGGTTTCCTGTTCAACAGTTTTTGAGAGGAGGAAAACTGCATATTTGGCTAAATTTTGATGCTTTTTCCGAGGACACAGGCGTAATAAAGAAACAACATCTTGATCTGAATTTTTGTCATGCCGGTACTGTTTACTTAACCTACCGAAAATGTGTTTTGTGCGATGAACGAGGCACACATGCAAGACGGAAGAAGATATCATCTTTTTATTTTCTCCCCAGCTTCCCTACCACGCTATCATAGTATGCGTGATTTATACCCCGGGGGGGGGGNGGGGGAACTCCCATACAAAAAGGACGGGGAAGCTCGTCGGAAATTTTGAAAAGAACCCCCACAAGAGGTAAAAAGATCCTGTTTTGTGGGCGTGGCTTGAATTTTTTTCATCCCTTAAAGATACCAATTCTAAAACAACACACTAACTGACACTGCCTTGTCTGGCCTCTTCGTCTCAATACCCTAAAAGGTACCGCGAAAGCTCCACTGTGGACCTCTTTAGGCTTCACACCTTAAGAGGCACCAAATCTATTTTTTAAAACCTAAAAGGTACGCCGAGCACCCCCGCCCTTTTAATATGGGAATCCCCCCCCCCCGGAAGATTTATGGCCCTGTTGTCAGACACGGGATCGCTCCCGTTCGGCAATAAAACAAGCTCTTGTTCTGTCATTGCGCTGATCAGTTTTTTTCTGTTTTTGTTTTTGTTTTCTTCAGATGATCCCGATCGTGAGGGAATGTTGTCGCCTGAAGAATATTGGGCCATCATTTTGTCCTTGGCTATAAGCTTATTTCTTGCGATTTCCATAGCGTTTTTCTTATGGCGTGGAAACCGGAGAATCAAGAAAGCTCGTAAAGAGGCGAAGGAGCAGAGGACCTCACATAGATCCAGGAACAATCATGTAGGGGCTGAGGTAGGTAATGCCGACGATGTCTGCAGTGTGCGCCCGATGAATCCTTAAAAAGAATGTCTTTTTAAACTCTGTGCTGAGAGCAGATCTCAGTCGACGATTAAAAAGAGCTCAGTTACGGTATTTTGAGTTGTTTTAGCCTTGGATAAAATTACCATTAAATTGAATGAAATGTCCGTTGCCAGGGCTCGAGCGCGTGCGTCCACTCTATTCGGAGACATGCGCGTTAACGTCCGGCTGAAACTAAACTAGACTAGGGTAGTCTCTCTTTCGCTTATAATCCGCCGAGCGTGACTTAGCAAAGGAAGATTAACCGTAGTCTAAAACTGAACTGATGCTGAAAAGGGTAACTACCTATCAATGGCTCCGTTTCATGTCCGGGTTTCCTTTTAGGAAAACCTTGCTGTAGAAGAAGAAGTTCTGGAGATTGGAGGAAACAGTACCTTGAAGAAAGAAACAGAAGATGAAAACAACGAGAAGAAAACGAACGGAAATGGAAATATGAAGGTCCCCGAGCAGAGGGACAAGTTGGAGTCTCCCTCGGACATGAATAAAAATATGAAGACTGAGGTTGTCATCGAGTCTCCGCCTGTAAATGAGAAAAAGGATGTGGAAAGCAGCACGCAATTTTGAAAATTAAGCGTCACGCGTTATTACGCGTTACCACGCGTTACAAGCTTTACAAGCGTTATATTACAAGTGTTACCACGAGCTGTAGCTTAGCTCCGGTTCGATTCAGACTCGTTGAATCACAGGAGCGAAAAAGTTTGCATGCTTGTACTAGTTACTCTTTCAGACCATGGTAAAGATGTTAAGCTTAACGAAATAAAAGAAAAAAGCAAAACAAAACAAAACAAAACAAAAAGAAAAGATATATGCTTCCCTTCACGATGGTTATTCTTTTCTTCAGTTTGTTGAAATTTCCAAGTATTCATTTGAAACAGGGTCAGAACCTGAGCGGGAAATTCCATTTAAAGAGAGAATCTCGGGGACCAGGCTTGCCCCAAGGCATACATTCCATTGTAAAAATTGAGAGTTTGCAACAGATTCTTATGAGACTTATGAAACTTCGTATATTTATTAAATTCCCAGTGACACATTGATCTAGGGAGGTAGTTTATGGCTTAAATGAAATATACGAAAAATTGTTGATTTTGCGTGACATCATCGTAAATATCCGTTTGTACTTCAAAACTGAACACTCGAGGCGATTTCCATATGATCGCTTCAATAGCTTCGATCGTTGCCATGGCACCGGTTGTCCCCGGCCGTTGATATGATCGCCACTGAATCGTAGCAGCAGAAATCGTTGTCGCAGCTATCGCTACGATGGCTGAGAGTCGCATATGATGGCAGCGATCGATGAGATTTTTTTTTCTTTTTTTTTTGCAGCGATCATATGGAAGCTAGTCTCTCAGTAAAGAATTCTGTAGTGCTCTCTACGGAGGATTAGGAGAGCAGGATCTAATGCCCCGCACTGTGTTCTTACCAACGTATGTTCCAAGCTATCGACCTTTTTAGCCCGGCCGATCTGTTGTCCCATTTAGAAACCATGTGATGATACTCTTGAGAATTCCCGCTTTCAAATTTTCAAATAGTCGCATGTGTATGAATGAATAATTTTAAGATGAATAATTTTAAAATGAATAAAAGAACAATTCTCTAGAGAATATATATCACGTGGTCTGTAATGGGAAAACAAACCGTCCAGGTGAAAAAGGCCTATTCAAGCACCACGTTCAAGTCTACATATTTAAAAAGGAGACAGAAAAGAATTACGTTAATTTTAGTGACAGACTTAATGTCTTTTTCGTAAGAACTGTCACTTTCTTCGCCTGTTTATTGGCTGGAGCACAAAACGAACATCACGCCACTTTATGCTTGAATGAGTTTTATCGAAAATTTTCGTGCGACTATATTTGTTCATAAAGAAATCATTCTGTTACGATCCAGATGTCAGATATGAGATGAGAATGTCTTAAAAGCAGCCCATATTTTCCTGGAATCCAAAAATGAACAAAAAAAAAAACAGTTAAAGGTAAGCCAACATAGACCCAGATAAGCGAGCGCAATGTGAGCATTAATAAATATTCCATTTTCAAAAGTTGACGCGTGACATGCGTGATTTAAGTAGCGTTGTCTGCGGTCACAGCCCAACGATCTGAAGTCCACAGTCACGTTTTTTTTAAATTCCCCACTGGTTCACGAGCTTTCTTGAAGGCAAAACTGGTAACGATCGATGCATTTCCCAAGTGTGTTAATCTCCATTTCCTGTGTTTTCCTGCAGATCGTTTCTGAAGGTTCATGCGGTAAGTGTTTCGTTCAGTTTGCTTTTGGTTCTCGGATGTGACACTCGTGATGCACTTGAATCACATCCATCGTTCGCTTTGCTTTGAAATTATGCTCGTTGATTGACTAACTTTGCGTAAAATTCTGATACAACAGCAATGTTTATAAAGTTCTTGAGTACACGAACTTCTGCTTGAGAGAGCACGGCAAATTTGGAGATATGGATGGATCGATTTGTCTCAAAGCCTTGTGTTTACTTACGTAATGTACTGATCAATGTTACTGTGCTACAAAACGTTAAATGAAACTGATCAATGAGCCTCACACAGCTCTCCCGAGGTTGATTTACAAACAGATTTTGGGTGTGTTTTTCTCTACTCTACCTCTTCCCTCATAGAGTGCGAAATAATTGACGAAACAAAAGTCATTTGTTCGAGTAAAGGGTTCAAATTCTAAAGAAACTATAGGGTTATGTCGGCGGGCAAGCGGTGAAATACTCCGCCTTTTATCAACTTTTATCAAGGTAAATTATAAACCGCTGTAGTCCACAGTTTGAGTTTGTGAAGCTGACTCAGCCTTTTGAGCTTCAGCCATCGTCATTTTGGGCTGACGAGGGCTAAACACTCGAAACCTTTTAGATCGAAAGAAACCATTCACCTGCAACAAGACTATTATGGTCTCAGGTGATGGCAAGGCTCTATTAAAATGGAGACTAAAATTTAAATTTATGTGTATAAAGCATGAATCAGTGAGTCCTTAAAGTATGTATATATCGCGCTACTCCTTTTAATTTATTATTTAGAGGTAACCGCAAATTGGCTAACCGGCCGAACGGCATTATTCACGCCGAACGTCTTTTAAATTGATAGAAACCTGAGGGTTGTTCACTGGCTGCCTAGCTGTTTAGGCTAACCGGCTAAAAGCTATTCAGGCTGATCGAAGTGCTGTTTGGGCTACTATACATGGAGTGTTTATTAATACGAGCTGAGGCAAACCAAGTTAACCGTCTTTACCCGCGTCCAATGTTGCCGGTAACTCCGATTGACTCAATTGACCCCGGCGTGACTTATGACCCTTGACTCATTTGACTCACAAATGATGGGAGCTGAAAATCGAAAACGTGAAAAGGCTGAGAAAAACGTCGTGAACCCATTGCAAAAATGAAGCATTTGATTGAAACTATTTATCTATGTAAACAGAAAGTATCCTTAATTCCTTAAATTCAATACAACAATATATTTCAACATATATTTTTTCTATAATTGAACACGGCTTGAGTTTGAGTTTTTCGGGGCAATACATTCTACAGGCTGGACAAAAAAACGCAAGCTGAGGGGAAGAAAAACGGTTCTTGTCCATTACGTGATAAAATTTGCAAAGCACTCGAGCTGAGGAATAAACCGGGCTGTTGAGATTAACATCTTTTTGCGTTGAATAGTTTCTGTTCTCCGTTCATTTCGTAGAAAATGCAGTCTTCAATATAGGTTACATGGCTAGCCACTTTGTATGTGGCTGTCCTCTTGTCTATTTCACGTCGATTCCGATTTTTACAACTGGCAAAGAAAGCGTGCTCTCTTGAGTGATCTCTGTCAGTTTTATCACCCATCAGATCAGTGACGGCTGCCAACACTCACGCCCTCTGGGTTGATAATCACTCGGCGCAAGGACCAATTTCTCAATCCAAGCTTCTAGCTGACAAATTTGAGCTATCTACAACCTTAACTGACACACGTTCTAACACCATGTAAACTCGAACCAATAAAAGAAAGGAAAATTCCATGTAAATGATGGTACACTTCTCCCAGTTCTCCTATTTAATTTCGGAAAACCGGGAATGTTCGGAACGTCTTGGGAACGTCCCCGGATATCTTCGGAAGCCATCAGATACGTTTGAGTAGTCTTCGAAAATCCTTGTTCCTCCAGGATGAAAATCTCACACCTTTGCAAAACTTGGCAAGTAAACAACACTATGATTGCAAAATCAAATCAGCATATTCACCTTTGAACGTTGAAAATATTTCCAGGAGTTTTAAAGCTAATAAAACCAGAAACCTATAAGCTTTTGATAAAACTCATTTCATTGATAAGTATGGTGAAAACCTCTATATGAAAGCTTAAAACAACAAGTCACTTTAAAGGAACTCAGTCACGGTTTGCGCATATTGAAAAGTTTAGCCTCAATTTTTCAAATTCGTCGTTTGTAATCTGTGCTAATCTTCTCCATCCCTAGCCATCCTTGTTCCTTTATGGTTTATCATTATGTCTTTGGTGTTTTTCTATCTTATTAAACTGTTATTTTCAGGTTTCCTACCATTTAAAGGTAATTTTGTATGTGGCCAAAATAACTCACAATAGCGTGACTGAGCTCCTTTAAGGTGACTCAAATTATAACCACTATTTATCACTTGATGCTACAATCATGGTATCAAAAAACTACCCAATCATTAGTGAACACGTTGTTATATCATTTTGGTGACACAATAGGTTACCATAGCAACAGGTTGACATGTTTAAAACACCATTAATTATAGCTTTAGGGGTTTATAATTCAAAAACGGCATTGGGAATTTTTTTTCTATGTTATTAAATTTTAATAAGCATGATAAGACGCAACTTTTGGCAAAGTTTTAAAAAATTCTGTACAAGGAGTTCAGAGCCAGCTTGAAGTTTTGAAAATTTAACGTGGCTCTGAACCCTATGTACAGAATTTTTTTAAATTTTGCCAAAAGTTGCCTCTTATCATGCTTATCAACATTTGATAATACAAAAAATTTCACAGTGCCGTTTTTGAATTATACGCCCCTAAAGCTGTAATTAAGGATGTTTCTAGCAGGTCATACTGTCGCTATGGTAACCTATTGTGTCACCAAAATGTTAACAACGTGTTCACCAATGATTGGGCAGTTTTTTGATACCATGACTGCAGCATCAAGTGACAAATAGTGGTTATAACGACCGATCATAGTCTGAGTGGAAAGCCTCAACCTTGATAATTTGTCTTTGTTATTAGTGCACTAGTGATTAAACTTCAGAAGGATACTAAAATGTTGTGGTACATCTGTATAAACCGTGAAAAGCCAAACTAATAGACTTGGAAATAGCCTGCACGTAGGCTCTCGTCTTTAGAGCCTGCTCGTAGGTTTTCCTGGAAATAGGCCACTTCTGGTCGTTGTTAAGCCTGTAATAATATACATGAAAAAATTACTCGATTCTAATTGGCTGAGAGCAATGCAGCTCAAATATAACACCAATGCAAAAAGTGTAACAACCGTGCAAATTACCCATCGTTATTCTGGATTATAATTGGCTGAGAGACAATAGGAAATTTTCCAATCTAATGATATCACGTGAAATAATGACGAAAATTTTGTGCGGCAGCTTTAAAAAATGTTTTTTCGAATGAGAAAAAATGGTTTCAAGAAAGATCTTCCGGCACTTCCTCCACGCGAATTTTTTCATGTTTATAAACAATTATTTGATGAGGTTTTTGTGACATCCAGAATAATCAAGGTCGAGGTAGGGGTTAATAGCCGAAGCCGAAGGCTGAGGATGATAACCCTTACCGAGACCTTGATTATTCTGGATATCACAAAAACCTCATCCAATAATTGTTTTATTACACATCGAACGGAAAAAAATGGAAGTCATGTTTTTGCTTCTTCACTGACCGCAACACAAAGCGCGCGAACTTGACATGATTACCCTTAGAAATCATACACTGCATGATTACTCGTGACCTTGAGTGTCCTTGACATGATTATTGTATAATCTGCAGTTATGACGTCACAGGCGCTGATTTCGAAAATTCACTGTACACTTTCGGCCAATCAGAAAAGAGATAGTGAGTTCAATGTGTAATAATATTATTTATAAGTAATCATACGGTTTTTCTCGTTCAATCTGAAATTAATTTGCACTCGTGAGTTTTTCCAAAATTCAGCTTTTTGAAAAACTCACTCGTGCAAATTAGCTCGAAATTGAACTCGAAACCGTATTATTACCTATACTAATAATATACATGAAAAAATCACTCGATTCTGACTGGCTGAGAGCAGTGCAGTTCAAATGTAACACCAGTGCAAATTACTCACCGTAATTCTGGATTATGATTGGCCGAAAGACAATAGGAAATTTTCTAACCCAATGATATCACGCAAAATGACGAAAATTTTTGTAAGCCAATGTCTTGGCATAAAAAACGGAAGCCTTTGAATTTAAACAAATGACATTCGTTTTCTTGTAAACTTATATCTTACTTTTTGCGGGAGGAGTGAGTAAGTAAGTAAAACCGTTATTTAAGTGTCTATGTGTTTAGCCTAGACGGACTAATAGGGGACACTAGTAAAATAGCAACACTAATTGGCATACGGTACTTATAGAATTTGAATATTTAGAGGAAAATGATAAAAACTTGTTGAAAAGTGCCCGAAAGTCAGTTGAAAATCAACCTCACTAGCTAGGCGGGGCTCCCATAGAGGTTAGTATTCAGGGCCGGGTTGTTCAAAGCCCGATTAAGTTGACCCAGGATTAGCGAGAATTTTGATTTCAGTTTTGCAACTTTTCGGTTAGATTTGCTGCTTATATTGTTTGTCCTTCAACTTTGAGTTTGAATAACCTACACCTACGCAAAACATAAGCCGTGAAGAACATTATTTTACGAGAGAAATTAATACTTCGGTTAACTTTTAATCCTGGGTTAGCGTTCACCGGGTTTGGATAAACCCGGCCAGGACTTGACTGAAGCGATCAATGAAAACTGAAACTGATTGGCAATATTACTCGCGCCTACGTACAGTCCTTGCCCATTGAGCAAAATCGGCTGACCCTCATTTCCAAGTCTACTCCCTCTCAGACGGAAGTTCGTATTAAAGGGAAAATCCTATCTATTAATCTGCGAAAAGTTGATGAAATTATATTAACCGCTGTAGCGAGGTAGTGAAGCGCGCGGGGGGGTGGGGGGTGGGTGGGGGTGACTCCAATATAAAAGGGGACGGGGTGCTTGTCGGAAATTTTGAAAAGAACCCCTAAAAGGTACCAAGAGCAAGATACCAAGATTCTAAAACAACACATCAACAGACAATCATAATTTTTAATGGCGAAAAAGACGATTACTTCGAATACCTTCTACGTGTGATTGTCAAATAAATTTTGTTACATTTTTTCTGCTCAATACCCCTAAAGGTACCGCGAAAGCCCCGGCTGTGGACCTCTTGAGGCTAAACACCCTAAGAGGTAACAAAAACCACTTTTTCAACCCCTAAAAGGTACTACGAGCATCCCGCTCCTTTTGATATGGAAGTCCCCCCTCTTCCCCCTCCGGATTGACGATTGGAGCGTCAGCCCTTCGTCAGAGGGGATTGTGGGTTGTATTTGCGGTTATTTAGAAAACAGTCCTAAGAAAAAAAAAAGAGCGCTGATTGGTTAAAAATCGTGTTTCTATAACTCGGTAAAAACACAGAACTAGCACGAGCTGTTGAAGTTATGATGGCGTGAACAAAGAGAATTTACATTTTCATAATCAAAGTTAACAAGTTGTTTTCCTTTTTTTTTTTTTTCGTCGCGTTGTTTTCTAAAAGAAATAGAAAACATGTTCTCTGTGTTTCCATCCAGCTATAGAACCACTCGTGAAAGTTTGGGAGAACTCGAAAAAGCTGTGGAAACACTCGCCTGCGGCTCGTGCTCCCACAGCATTTCTCGTTCTCCCAAACTTCCATCCGTGTTTCTATTTAGCAATTAGACTATGAGCTCGAGATTTCTATGAGGTGATAGTTGATGAGGCCTTTGGCCTCATCAACTATCGCCTCATAGAAATCGAGAGCAAATAATCTAATTGTTTTAGTAGAATTCTAACTTATTAAATTAACGCAAATAATGGTTTCCAAATATTTTTCGACGCATTATTGAGCTTTACGCTTTAACAAAATCGCACGCATTGAATTATCCTTGGCAAATTTGCAGTTGTTTGCGCGCGCGCACCGGTTTTTCAATAATTTCAAGTTTTTAAAGTCAAGAATCCGTTTATGTCCTTCTTTTTGTCTCCTCAGGAATGTAATTATCCATTTACATCTAAACTTTCTTCCAAAACTTCGGAAAAACGGTAGAAACGTCGCATTTCGTGGACGACCGACAGCTACTGCATTCTAACTAACAATTAGACCCGTAGCCCTTGCGGGCTACGGGTCAATAGCCCATGAGGCAAAGCCGAATGGGCTATAGACCCGTGGCCCCTTAAGGGCGAAGGGTCTGATTGTTTTAGTATCACCCAACTAGTCGCACAGAAAAGGCAATAATAAAGTTAGCAAATGCAAGTTGAAGAAATATTTATTTGGGAATAAAACGAAAGAAAGGGTTACGCTCGATTGCGCNTTTAGTATCACCCAACTAGTCGCACAGAAAAGGCAATAATAAAGTTAGCAAATGCAAGTTGAAGAAATATTTATTTGGGAATAAAACGAAAGAAAGGGTTACGCTCGATTGCGCCAATTTCGCTACTCGAGGACTATTACTAATAGTCCTCTAGTAGCGTAGCCAACCAAAATGCAGGATTTGCATTAGTCCACTGATTGGGTGATACTAATGGCTGATAGTATACGAGTAGCTCAGCCAATCAGATTGCAGCGTTTGCATTAGTATACTAGTAAAATTCTACTAAAACTCGATAGAAACACGGTACATATTTTCTATTTCTTAAATATTGGAGCAAGGAGTTACGCTACTGCTGGAAACATGGTAAAAGACAACAACAGCATTCATGCATTTTCTTTTGCTTTCTTACTTTGTTCCCGGTGTACCGCTACACTACGACATCACCCGAAAGGTTGTTAAACCAGTTGTTAACTGGAATATATACATTGTGGGGCGAAAAATGGCAATCTCGAACGCATGTCTAATTTACCAATATTCCCCTAGAGAGGGTCTTTCATACTCTGGCTGTTTGGCGGTTTAAGCCAATTTTGAGTGCCGGTTTGCGGGCACATTCACATTNCCCCCCCCCCCCCCCAAGAAGACGATTAATGCGCTTAATTAATTGGAACGTATTGTACTTCTAGGTAAATAAGGAAACGTCAAACGAACTTCACAACTCAATGCGCCTGAAAAACAAAATAAAAGAAACGTATTAATCGTCTATTTAAAGTAAATAATATTAATGAATAAGTAACTTTATTTTAGTGTCAAACGTATTTAGCCCTGTTGTGCCAATTGCTGACGCTGTAAATAAATGAAAAATATCGCAAATGGAACATAAACTATTTTAAGAATCCCAACTGGTGAGAGGCTGGCTATTTACGCTACGCGGTCGAGGAGGTGAATTTGAGGCTATCGAGAAATAATCCAGATAGCGGTAGCTATAAGGTGGCCGGAAGGATTTGAACCAGGAACGTCCAAATTTCAAATCAAGCGCCCTAAACTACTCGGGCAGGCCGCCTCCGCAACAGCTCATATAAGGTATAAGGTAAAGGGAAAATCCTCTCTTGATCTAGGCAAATAGGAGACACATGCGAGGTTGCCTATTTACCGAGTTAGGATTCGAGTTAGATTTCGAGTTGGATTTCGAGTTGGATTTTCGAGTTGGATTTTCGAGTTGGATATTTTGGGGGGATTTTTTTGGCGGGATTTCCAATAAATTTTTAGTGGTTTGATGATTTAACTGGTTGACAGGCTAAACACGACTCCTATTGGTCAAGATAGAGCTAGCCAATGGCGTAATGTACTTTTCGATCCTTATTTGTTTGAAGCTCGACCTCGTTATTATTATTATTTTTTTAACGGCATTTTCCCTAGATTTCTAGGCACTCGATGACTAATCAGTGACATCAGTGTAAAATGGGTTTGACAAGCCTACACGACTCCTGCGGTTAGTGACATTTGTACATTTGCCGTTCTCTGTTCGGTCAATCGCCTTTTTTTTTTGCTTCACTCGTGTTTATGAAGGGCACTTCATGTTGTGTTATAAGGAGAAATTTAATTTTTTCGAAGGGCAAAATATGAATTTTGCTTACTTGCATTCTATATTGTGACGCCGGGCCGGGTGTGATTAAAACTGTTTGCAAGTACAGTGGAACCTCGATTCAACGAACCTCTATTTAACGAAGCCTCGATATAACGAACGATATTCTACGTTCCGGCCAAAGTTACAGGAAAATGTATGGAATAGAACCTCGATATAACGAATTCTCCGATATAACGAACATAATCCGGAAGCCCAAACGTAAAATCTACCTAGATATAACGAATTACAATGTCAACACGCGACAGAAGATAAACGCTGAACAGATCAACAGTCAACAAATCCTTGTAATCCTGATGGTAAGGAGACAGCAAACTTTCAGTCAACGGCTTATTATATGTATAGTATGGCAGTATAGTATTTCGACATCAATTAACTTCTGCTCTATCTTTTTTGAAGTCCGGAAATGTTGGTTAGTGCAACATAACAACACTAAAGCCCGTTTCCTTGTTTACATAGACAATCTTCTGTATAACCTCTATGTTGCAACATTTTTAAATCCCTACTCAGAAAGTGTCGTTCTTTTGTAAACAAAAGCTACGTGTCTCCTCAAAAGTGAAAATAATTGATACTGAAAGCCACCATGCTTAATAAATTGCATCTCAAAACGCGGCACTTCTGGGTGACTAAAATTGCATTGAATTGCGTGACAGAAGCCGCTTGTGTTACAAATCAATTATTAACTATGACCTCGATATAACGAACATTTTGGTCGTTTCCGCTCAAATTCTTTATATCGATATAACGAACCCTCGATTTAACGAACAAATTTGGCCGGTCCCAGCGACTTCGTTAAATCGAGGTTCCACTGTGTATAGTGGGTAGATTCTTATCACGGAATTATATTATTTGTCCTTGTACGTTTTTCTTCTGAGACGCTGTAGCTTTACTTCGTGAAAGCTATACGTTTCTCCAGAAACATTCTTTTGTTTCTTGCAGCTATCTGATCAAAGCTTATGTTTCTCGAGCTCGATGTATAGGTTTATTCCTCCTTTTGGTCGTTCTGGTACCACGTGATTCAAATGTAGCTGTTTACACGCAATAAAAAGGCTTTGTTGGCTGTATTGGACTGGAAATCTACGAGACGGTTTACGGAGAAACTCGCCGATTCGTTGCAGCTGGATTACTAGTTTAAAAAAAAACCTACTCTACATCCTTACTCGAAAATCCAACTCGAAATCCTAACTCGAAATCCTAACTCGGAAGTTAGTTTGTCTCGACACATGCATAGCACAGACGAACTGGTCTGCACTGTGAATCCTCTCGAATAAAATTTGAAATCAAGTAGCTTCAAGTGGTCGTGACCGACCGGCCCTCTCTCACAATAGCTTTGTTTTGCTGACACACCAGATTTGATGCGTTTCTTATGTAGACGCACTTGATGTTTGACGGATAGAACGACTGAGACACCGTCTTCCTCGTTAAACAAGACCTTAGAACCGGCCCACTGCCAGAGCAGTGCGTAGACTTTACTGTTGCACTGTTCCTCCGCTCCTCTCAGTTTTCTCGATCAAATCCGATCTCCGGCAAAATAAGTAGAATTTTCCAGCGTTGTCGCTTGATTCAAGCTGTTTTCCTGTACTGATGTAGACGCCTTACATAGCCTCCAAAAAGAGAAAAGGAACACTAACAGAAAAATGTTGACCTTAAAAACACCACAATATTTAAACAACTGTGTCATGTGCTCTCGGATTTGCAGCAGTATGTGGTCGTATGTTGCTAAATGGCCGATGGGAACAAATACCTGCCCGGTCAAACAACAACTTCAGCTTTCGCTTTGATCGTAATAAGTTTTGGAAAACGAAATATTCCGTCCGAAAGGAAGGCGAACATTTCAGCTTTCGAGAGGACATTTCAAGGCGCTGTTAGCCAGAGGAACAGGCGCTGGAAGGCTCCGTTTTGTTCAGGTGAGTACAATTTTCATAGCTCAGTAATATTTTCGCTTTTGACCGCTACCCTAGCTCAGCTGGGGGTCTAGTTAATAATGTTATGTTTAACAAGCTTTGCGATGGAAGTCGGAACATCTATTTATTTTACCTGAAACTGATTTTTTTTTCTGGAATCAAAGAACAGAGGTCTGAAACTTAATTTCACTTAGTTTTGAAATAGTCCGAGTGAGTTATTTGTGTCTTTATAATTACGCAAGAATCGAAAATGCGATTACTGACCTAGATAAAGCGCAAATAACTCAGCATGGTCTCCAGGGTTTTTCAGCTAAAAATATTCTGATGATGAGTCAAGTCAGTCAAGGGAGGCAACCTTTCTTGCCATATTTTGTAGACGTGGGTCTGTTGCATCAATAAGTCGTCGTCTTTTAAACCTTAACCCGTATAATTCTAAACGACGCGTTTGAAGCCATTGTACAATTGTACAAAATCTAAAACGAAGAGCTATAAAGCGCAGAATTCGATGGTAAATGGAGCAAAAATTTCAAACTTCTAATATATAGAGTTTTTATGGTCATTTTTTTTTTTTATCGCAAAACGTACTACGACGGCACCGAAAGCTCTGAACGTCCAAGATCGCCAAATCCACCAAAGCTGTAGCACTGGCACATTTATTACTTTACTCGTGCGTTTGATCGATGCTTGACGTGAATTGAATTGCGTGCACGAAAACAACAAACACTAACATTAAGAGTCAAATTAAAGTTGTTTGATTTGTCAGACGTCATGTCAGATGTTCTTTGGCGTAACGAATGTAAATTTACTCACGATTGATGTTACAGTTGGCATCACGTTGCGTTTGACTGGGTTTTTCTGAAAAATGACCGTGTGGCTAGAATTCACATTTTTCAATGAACTGTCTCTTAATGACTTCAATGCGACAGATCTATTGGTGCACATAACGCACGCATGCTTTTCTGTGACGGTAAGGTATTAAAATTAGCACGAAGGGCTGATCCCTTTGTTTGCCTAGTTATGACTTGGGGTTGTGAACACGAACTTGTTCTCAGACGGCTGACAATTTTGAAACTGCACTACATTCGCATCGGTAAGGCGAGACCATGGAAATTTAAAACAAGAAAATGTTTTCTAAGCGTTCTTGTTCTCTCAGACATCCAAACATGAACAAGTAAAGCGTTTTAATTAAAGAAAATAAGAATATAAGCCCACTATTATGAAATTTATGAATATTTCATTCCTTTGTGTAGCTTTCAAAACTGAGCAGTGAAGTGTTTCAAATGAGATATGCGTAATATGGCGTGATTCTGAAGTGGCCCATTTTTGTTCACTGCGCAAGAATTTAGAAGCACAAAAGTTTAAAAACCGTCTGCTCATCAAGATCTCTCAAGGCTGAAACCGTGAAACAGACGTCTTAACAATGCATTTATCAAGAGTTGTCCTGGCTATTTCTTGCGTTTTACTGCAGTTCATTCCTGAAGTTTCGTGCGGTAAGTTCAGTTAGCAATTGATTCGTGTTAAGACTTACATCTTCTGAAGTACACCTACTTGGCGTTTTGTAATCGTCTCCCGCATATTCGCTTTGCATGCAAATTATGCTTGTTGTTGAATAACTTCTCTTGTAACTCCGAAACAACGAAAAAGTTTACCAAGTTATTTGGCAACAAAGTGTATAAAGTTCTTGAGCATTAATTTCTCAGTATTCGCTGAACACTTAATGTGTCAAATCGTATCCATGTTTTGAAAGTCTTCTGAACGTTGTTAACAATACAAAGGACCTTTGTTAAAGTGAGTACATAAATAACGGCGGAAAAATTTATAATTGGCTTGGAATGGCATGTTGACTTCAGTGTTGTGAAAAGTGTTCTTCCACTAGAAAGAACGAGCATTTCGTTCACTTCATCTTGATCCAAGCTGTCGTGGGCCATCAGTTTTAACTATACTGTATGATTTCCGCGTATTCGTTTAAGCTTGACATATAATCTTTAGAGGAGCGAAAGAATTTGCTGACTTTTATGAGGCCATAAATTGCCAAACAACCACATCTTACCAGTCGTACCTAGAATTGAATTGAAGGGTTATTTATCTAGCACTGTTGTCTCGACTTCGTATATTTAAATATAGTCGGGTAATAAAATTTCCATGTACCTTTATGACGATAAAGCTGATCACAACAGCTAAGACTACGTTTTTCATTTTTTTCTGATTGTAAATGGCCTTACAAAAGATATACTACAGCTTTGGAAGAATCTAAAGGCCTTTAATTTACTGGCTTGAAACTTGAAAAGAAACTTAAACATTCGATCTGAATGGAAATCCGTCTGAATTAGCAAACAAAAGGATCTCTGAGCGTTACAAAACATACATCAAACAACCAGACCGCAATTGAGCAAGATTACCTGAAAAACTGGCAAATTAAACAACTTTTATTACGTATAAAAGCTACCAACCTTGGTTAAGTTATTGTTTTAAAGTAATAACAGAAACATTTATTTCAGATGGAGATCTCGGCACTGCTGATTACATTGCTATCGCTGTGTCCTTGGGCATAACAGTGTTCATTTTGGCTGCAGTAGTGTTCTTCTTGTGGCGTGCCCGAAATAGGTCCGAAATGGGTACAAACAACACGAGCGGACGAGTAAGTATTAAGTTTTCTAAAGCCACTTTTAATGTTGGAGCTGAAAAAAAAGTAAAATGGGATATTAGTTAACATGATAGTTCTGTAATTTTGTTCTTCCAATCCGAATGAAGAGTATTAACATAAGGTCCGTGCCGTGATATAGTTGATATGAGAAGAAATGTTACTTTTGATTTATGAATTTGATTTAACATGATATTTTATTTTATGCCATGATTTTAATGTCAAAATAAACGTATTGTTTCGTCTTGGGATATGCAGTAATCCCATAAATGATACTTTCTTTTATTACTACGTCAAAATGCAGGCTAAGACAATATAGGTCTGTATCATCTTGGGAAAAAAAACCGATACAACTTTGAAGTTATAAATTATGCTAGGTACGATTACGCGAAAGCATTAATTGAACACAATCTCTCTTCAGAACAATCCCGCTGTTACTGGAGACAACGAGGGTGAAGTGCGTGGAATAAGCCTGTCAAAAATATGAAACCGTGAACGCTTGTAGAACGCTGCAAGACTGAAGGTTTTTTGAAGCACAGCATTCCTTACTACTTTTACTAGCTTACTTGATTATAGCAAGTGTGCTATGGATACTTTGTCAAGATTCCTTAGTTTAACTACAACTGTAAGGCACTAGTAGAAAAACAACGACAACAACAATAACAATATTATTTATACCGTAGAAAAAAAGAAGTAGGAAAAAATAAAATAATTTTGAGGTATTAGTTGGCATTTTAGACCAAAGAGACTTATGAATTACCTCTGCTGTAATGCAGAACTGAGCTGAATATTATTTATGTGCAATTTACCGGTTTGTGTAGCACACATTTCGTTGAGTTCAGTTTTGAAATGCTTTGTAATTTGACACAAATCACTCAGAAGTCAGATTGTTGTAGATATGTAAGATAATTAACTAATATGCTTTTGTAACTATAAGTACTCTCAAGTGCAATCTTCAAAATTGTGTCATTGTGTCACTAGAGACAAGAGCATGTGAAAGAATTAAAGTTCTGATCTCTTGGTTTGTTTCTTTGAGTGAGAAACTTGTCTTAAACTGCACGACGTCACGGAAGGGGGTTGATTGGCTAAAAAGCAACAGGACAAAATAGAAAACCTAACAAAAGCGAAATTAAAAAAGCTTTTTATTCTACGAACGCCAAGTTTCATCTCTACCAACGTCACGTCTTATCTCTTGTAAGGTCCTCTCGCTCTTGTTTTGCTGGTCTTAATAAGCAGGCAATATCAGCTCTTTATAAGCAGGCAATATCAGCTCGTCTGACCGGGTACTCAGAGTTGGTTACAAATGAACAATCTTTCTGTTCAACTTACATTCCTCCAGAACTATCGTCAGTTCTCATTGTGGTATCATGCATTGCTGGGTATATCATCAAGATAGGAAGAGTGCTTTTGTAATGCAGTGTTGAGTAATGTAACACTGTCGCTAGAAAAGCTGGAAATTCAAGAATCAGTACAGCCGCTTTCAAGTGTTGGAAATAACCCAAAAATCTCCCAAATATAAGAAGTCCCAGCGATCGAGGTCATGCAAAATGATTTTTTCTTCTTGTATGGTCGCCCCAATTTCTTTTCTTAGGGCTGACGCACAACAACAAAAACAACTAAAAACAAACAAGGGTTATTTCCAGCACTTTGAGGAAAGGCCAGTTTACTCAGGCGCCACACAACAGTCGATACCACACAAAGCATCCATAATCTATATATGGAGCCTGAAGGGGCGATTCATCCAGTTCAATCTTGATAATGGGCATGAATTCATTCGCTGATATTTGCTCACTAGAAGTGGCAAGTATTTTAATTTCAGTCTTAAGGAATAAAGTGTTGGAACCTAATTTTCTTGTATATGCCACTAATTAAGGTAGTTTCAATCATTTTCTAAGGCCTTCTTGTTCCTGAACGCCAACACTTCTTCGCCAAATCTAAAATTTCTGAAATGTCCAGCGCATTAAAGTTAGGTATCCGGGTAGCGCGGTACGTGTAGCAACAGCTCGTTGAAATTCAGCGTCATAATACTTATGTCTATATTTTGCTTGTATGCACAAGGAATAAATTGTTTTCCAGTTGAACTAATTTGAATTGTTCCAGAACGGATTTGCGCAGTTAATGTATATGTTATGACCATGCAACGGTGTTGATTCTAATTAGTTTGAAGCAACAAACGATAATTTCTCAGAACGACATCTTACAAAACGTGAAATAGTCAAGATGAGTCGCTTGGCTAGAACACTGCTGCCGGCTTTGGCAATATTTTGCTTGGCGCAGCTTCGACTTACAGTGTTTGCTACTAATGGTAAGTGGAAAACCTCTCATGTACAAATTAGACTACCACCATCAATCCATAACTTCGGCATTTTACGATTGACATTATGTTTATTAGCGAAAACATTTGAGTTCATAGGAAATGACGTGGCTAAATTTTTTCTTCAGTTGCAGTTTAGTCACGAAACCAGTGTATCGTCATATCGGCTAACATCGTAAATTCCTTTAAAAACACTTTAAAGCCGTGATCCTTTAAATATGCTCGGTGCGCTTACTGAGAACAAGTTGTTACCATTTTCAGGCCCCTCTTAGTAACATTAGTAAAGTAATACCTCTATTTAAGTTATATAGAAGAAACGAGGTGAAAATAAAACTGATAATCATACATTATATTCGCCATCGTTAACTCTCGTGTTAATTTATTTGTGATATTTCTTTTGTCTGCTTTGTTTATCTTCTTGGAGAAGTTACGTGACTTAATGTTTACGTAAGAAATAAAAAACATGTTCCGTGTTTCTATCGAGAGATTCGAAAGATAGAAACACGAGTGGAAGGCGTTTAGAGACAGTTTTCACGAGTGTTTTATAGCTTGATAGAAACACGGACAAAAGAATATATTTAATGTGGAATCACTGCAGCTAGAAGACAGGATACTTATTACTAAAATGTAAATTATCTTTGTTCGCGGCTGCATAAGGTCAACCAAGAGAAAATCAACAGAACGTGCCAGTTCTGTGACTGTATTGAATTTTAGCACAATGACTAGCGTTATATATCACGAATGCCGTTCTCTGATTGGTTATGCTCCCCACTCAGGCTATCTATTCTGTTGTAGAGAGTGAGTAGCCGAGCAGTGCGCGGTTCTTAACAGTGTGCGGCCGCTTCTTTGGTTTTTCCAGGTGTCTGTGAAGAGGATTTAGATAAAGTTATGAAAGAGTAAGAGATTTATACTAAAACAATTAGATTATTTGCTCTCGATTTCGATGCGTGACAATGCATGGACTCGAGCTGCGCCCTCGTCAACTTTTACGCGATAGAAATCTCGAGCTCATAATCCACTGGTTAAATAAAAGCACGGCGTTTTGCGCACTTCTTCTTACGAGGTGTTTTCTAATGAATATCATATCTCGTATAAGAAAAGTTTTGATTTTCTTCTAGCACATGAATATCACCTGTAATATCGATTTTTCACATTTCAGCTACAGAAGAAAAGACGTTCGAACTGGGAAGCAATGTGACGCTTACTTGTGGAAACATCAGCAACCTGTCTTCTTCAACTGAGTTATCCTGGAGAAAAGGAGACAATGTTCTCTTAAACACTACTTCTCATAATGAGTCTTCTTTAATCCTAACCGACTTAACAGAGGAGGCCAACGGCTTGTATGTCTGCAAGGCAAACTCCTCCCAGATCCTGAAGAGTGTTCAGCTTAGCTTGGCAACAAATGGTGAGCAATTAATCTTTAAGTGGTGTACTCTTTGCCCGTGAAAAGAAAAAAAAAAAAAAACGAGGGAAGGGAGGCCCTATCGCTGAGTCTATAAGAGATCTGGGTCGAGCAACAGAACGGTGCTAGGCAACCGAGTGAGCGCAGGAGCAGTCGATAATACTTTGCTAATGGAGATTGCAATAGAGACTATTGAATTGTATGTGAATTGTTGAAATCACGATTGTTCAGTGGCTTGGAAACTGTTATCTGTGCGCTGCAGACTACTTAGAAAGAAGGAATCTCAGTGTTGGTGGACCTTCGATATTTGTCTCCCAGTCGTGTTGTTTTTGTTATTGTTTGTTTATTTGTTTGTTTTGTTATGAGAGACAGAAGTGCCGCAGTGTTTAGAATGCGCTCAAAAGGTAAAAATGTTCCAAAGCAACCTTCACTCTCGCAGCTTTATTTACCAAATATTGGTATACATGTTTGGTAATTGTATGAATGTGTGTGCAATTGACAAGGATTTCCACAACGAGTGATATTTGAAAAATGCTATCAAAATTTGAAAGAAGAGTCAGACAGCACGTGCAGTGTAAATTAAGTGCTCGGGCTTTCATATGATAACTCATTCATGACTGAATAAATTACGAACGTCTATGCATTAATTTCACTTCGGTCCGATTTAAAGTTAAAAATAACTTGCTAAAAATATGCGTGCTTTCTAGACTGGAAACAGTCGTTTTTCGCATCTCGTTGAGCGTGAAGCGCTGAGGGCATCTTGCTTGCGCGCGAAACGTGCGTGTCTCACGCACACTCCCAGACTCACTCAACGCCTTACCCCTCGCTTCAGACCTTTCGTTCCAAAGCCGCGCTCATTTGCCAACGTCGCAATATACCTCCTCTCAGCCAATCATTATGAACTAATTTTTGTCAGTCATAACTGGTATTAGCCGCTGTTTTCAGCCGATCAGAATGACGTTATATTTCTCACTCGCTCGAAGACGCGCTCGTTCGCGATGTGGTGTTACAAACGAGTGAATAAAAACGATATTTCGCTCTTAACATGTCATAATTTGTTTATTACATGTTACATGCTTAAAAAGTATCAAACCACTGAGTACAAGCAAGTTGCCTTTAATAATAGTGTATCAACGTAAGTACATACAAGAAAGAGGCAGAACTTAAACGTTTCGTTCTCTTGCAGTGTTTCTCTGGATCATTCAGTTTTCTTTCCCTGAGAAAGGTCTTGAACAACGCTACATCTTGAGAGGTTTTTTTTTTTTACCGTGTTCCTGTTTTCGTTCTCTTCGAGAAACTGAGAAATATCTCCATCGGAGACATTCAGAAATCTTGAAGCGGCCATTTCGTTGATAAAACCTGTAAAGCAATTCTTCCCGCCAAATTTGGCGCCAGGCTTCAGCTAAAATATAACGCGCAGCCCGATTGGTGCAACCAATTTATTACAGTCTATTTTGATATTTATCATATCACTTCACTGGTATCATTTTTAGTCACGGCTTTATCACACGTCCTAGCCTGCAGTGCAGGCGTTTTCCGTGTGTTCACGAATTATAGCGGTATAAGCTCGCGATCGAGTAGATTCGCCGCCATGTTGGTTTAGAAAAAGATATGGGTTGGGGCGNGGGGGGGAGAGGGGGCGATGGCGCTCGCTTGGCCAAAATGCGCTCGATCGATCGCCAAAATACGCCTGCATTGCAGGCTAGCTCACGTCGCTGATATCCACATATAATTTGTAATAATAAAGGTTGCATTGTGTATCCCTTACAATTAGTGGGAGCTAGCCACTGTCGAGTCCGTGCTGTTTAGCAAGGCCAACCGAAGTGCTTTTAAGCTAATCGTGACTATAAATGCCACCCACTGTTTGGCGCTGTTCGCTGTTCGGGTTTTCCTGTACATGTAGCCTGAGAACAGACTCCCTAGTCGAGCTCCCCACCATTTCACCCTCGGCCACTTCACTCTCACCCAGTTCCTTCTCGGTCCTTCAAGCCGCGGTCAGACCATTCCAGGGGGGGGGGAGGGGGGGCTGTTCACAGGCTAGTTTTCCTGACGCCCACTTTCTTTCTCGGCGCGTACAGGAGCAATGATTCCCCTTTTATTATACATTGAACTCACTATCTCTTTTCTGATTGGCCGAAAGCGTACAGTGAATTTTCCAGATCATCGCCTGTGACGCCATCTAGCTGAAGATTATACAATAATCATGTCAAGGACACTCAAGGTCACGGGTAATCATGTCATGTATGACTGCGATGCACGATTTCTAAGGGTAAACATGTCAAGTTCGCGCTCTTTGTGTTGCTTGCCGTCAGTGAAGAAGCGAAAACATTACTACCATTTTTTTTTTTCGTTCAATGTATAATAAAACAATTATTAGATTCGGTTTTTGTGATACCCTGAATAATCAGGGTCTCAGTAAGGGTAATCAGCCTCAGCCTTCGGTTTCAGCTGATAACCCCTACCTCGACGTTGATTATTCCGGATATCACAATCCACCGTAGGAAAAAAGATGGTGGCTGTACATTTTAACCACAATGCCTTGCGAACCTTACACAGCGTACAAGGCCAAAAGCTAAGAGAGCCAAAATTTTACAGTATTTGTCCCTGTACTACGGACATTACCTAGCCTCGGTTTGAAGATATTCTAACGTTTCTGCACGTTTTAGTGAACGTTGTTAAGGTTTTCGTGCGCTAAGAATTATGGGTAAATGTACCAGTCGCCATCTTTTTTCCTACGGAGGATTAACTTCATCCAATAATTGTTTATAATTTGTCAATTTTGACTTGCAGATGATGAAGATGGAGAGGAGGAAATGGAAGTTCAAGGACTCACAGAGACTGACTACACCGCCATTGCTCTCGGGCTTGGGCTGACAGTTTTCATTGTAGTTTCAATGGCAATTTTGCTTTGCCGGGCCGAGAAGCGACGAAAACAAGAGAGGTGCATGCGAAGATGGAAAAAAACAGCTAAGGGAAGCGTAAGTAGCTATTAACAAACAGTTGCTTGCAACTCCGTCACGGCATTTTTGAATTATTTTGCATCGAATTATTAAACTGAAGGAAACCTGAAAATAATAGTTTACTAAGAAAACACCAAAGAGATTATAAAAAGCCATGAAGAGTCAAGAATGGTTAAGGATGGAGAAGATTGAAACGGATTACACTGACTGTACAAAACACGCATCGGCGGGCGCTCTTATTCATCGACAACAGACAATTTATTGGAGTTTTACACAAACATCGATTGAAATTCATGCTAAATCCTAAATTAGCTTAATCGTGTCCAGGCCTAATGTCCGCTTCTTCTTCCTCCTTAATTTTGTTTTCGACGTAACTTCCGTCAATGTCTCCGGAAGTAAAGTAACCGGGCCCAGTCTCCCCTCTTTCCACTCGCTTTTTTGAAGTATTTTCAGTCGATCTTGTTCTCTCTGAACCGGAAGTCGCGTAATAACGTGGTCTTTAATTATCTTTCAGGAAAATATGGCAGTGGAAGAAGAAGTTACGAGGAAACCCATACCGAAGAATGACTACCACTTCAAAAATGGATCCGGGGCAGGACACATGCAACCCGCGCCTGCAGGCCGGTCAGACATGACACCAGCGGAGTATCGCTGGTTAGAGACACTTGGAAGGGAACCATACTACGAAGTCGATCGCGATAGTGATGTGAATAGCATTGGAGGAACCATGTGGGAATCCACTGCCTACGTTTGATTCAGTCTGAACTGACACCGAAACTCTTCGTTTTGCATGTGAACAGACAGTGAAAGACTGATTTTCTAGTTAGTTCATTGACATATATTCGTCAGTCGGTGTTTCCAACTGGTAAAAATAAGTCTTAGTCGGAATTTAGAAGTCGGGGGAGTTTGCTCAATTTTGGGCAAAACGGTGCTGGAATTATGAACAAGTACTTTCGCGCATACGCGATCTCGTCCCCAGATCCCGCCCGTTCTCCATCAGCAGCTCAAAATGATCGCGGCCTTTTAAATGAGAATGAGATTGCTGTAGTACACCAAATGACGCAGATGTGACTGAATTGACCATAAGGTAAAAAAAAAAAGGTAAAAAATTAACAGGATACATAGGCTCGATTTCCGCCGCTCTCTCGGGTCCGCGTGCCTCTCCTCCGGGGGGTGAGCGCTGGCTCATTTCCCGAAACAGCGGCTGGTAATCGAGCGTACAGGATACAGAACATTTGGAGGGAAATTAATGGAAATGAGGTATTTAGATCAGATAAAATGAAACATCGAGAGAAAGATCATTATTATTAGCAATTGAAATTAACGGGATACGAGACGGGATAGGGGATACTCAGACCACCTCTGAATTGCTGAAGAGAGATTATTAGTTTTAAACGTTTTTTTTTTTCAAGATAAGGTCCAGTGGTCTAGTATTAATTAGTAATTTTAACAAATTCTGACAATCAGTTTTAAATTTCTCGCAAAGGTATTAAAATTGGTTTTTTGATTTTTGACTCCTTAAAAGTCATGTTCACAATAGTGCTCCCTTAAAAAAAAGATTTTTTCTAGAACGATATTTTACGATATTTTGTACAGTTATAACACTTCTCGTTAGCCCACGTATGCCACTAACTGTGTGTTGCCACGTGGTACAAATTTTTACTTTAAGTTACATCTAATTTTTTTCAAAATGTATTTTTGACACATGCGAACATTGTAACTATAAAGTTGTATATTTCATGAGCGACGGTTAGATACTCCTGGACTGAATTGAAAAGGTCCGAGGATGTTTTTCTCACAGGATCTAATCCGGGTGAATCTTGAACTTAAGACCATCCTGAATTATCGTTTGCAATTGCAGCGAATTTGCCAAACAACGGAATTTTTTAACTAATTGTACTGGCATTGTAAAATGGAAATTAGAAACTCGTGGCAGTTTTTGAAATAATATTTCGCCAAAAAAAAAAAAAAAAAAAAACGAATATGGTACGAAATGTAATTGCTCGGTTTTTCAGTCAGTTTTGCGCCAGTGTCTGTAGACTGTAAGCTCTATTTAATGTGTTTTGTTCCCTGAGATTTTACACGCGGTTAGTGTCAATATAGTGCCGACTTTTCGGGGTAACACAGGCAAACCCTTTTATATATTGTTTTATTTTTACAAAGCATGCCGTGGGTTTCCGTTTAAAAAGCAATCAATGAATATGGAAATAGCAAACACTGGGAAAGCTTCCCGAGAGACATTCAAATCAATTTCTGTAGCAAATAACCAAAAGATATTAAAATAAAAAGTAACTAAGAAAGAGTAATCTTTCTCTTCTTTTCACAATGTTTGTGTTAAAGGTACTCTCTGTTTTACACCTTCCCTGGCCTGCGACAGTCTTGAAAGTATAATTATTTTAATATCAGATATTGTTTTGTCACACTTAAGTGGAGAAAAATTTTTTGTCAAAACACGATAATTTTCACTTAACGATAATTTCCACTTTCATGCGGAGACGTTATCGTTTTACAAGAAAAAACAAGTTTAAGCAGAAGATAAGTTCGATTATTAGCCCGGCGATCAATTCAGTTTCGACGTGGGTTGAAACCGTGTTGTTGTGGTTTCGGAATTTTCCTGTAATAATTCTTTGCCTCGAAGACAAATATTGCTCTACACACATAGCCAGCTAGTCGTTCAAACTAATACGCTTTAGTGCTCACTGATTTAATCTTTGCATGTTCGGTTAGCCCATTGTCGTTGTGGTTTTAAAATATTTTTGGAGCCGCAATCAGTTGCCATGTTTTTAATGTTTTTTTTTTTTTTAACCCTCCAGTTTAAACGTATGAGTTTTAGTTTGTTACCAGCAAAGCAAGTAAGTTTGGAAAACTTTTAGGTGAATTAAGTAACGTTCATTTTGCTAATGCGGCATTTCACGATTTGTTTACCACCTGCTTGTTTGCTTGAAGTCCTATCTGCTTCTGATTACGTCACCGAGGAACATTATATAATTTACGTTTTTGTTCTCATTCTCATGCAAATTTATTGGATTTTTTACTCGTTGTAAAACCTCCACAATTCTCATGCTTGTGATCAGCTAAGGATGTTTTTGACCTGTTAAACGTGCCTAACACTTAATATTTAACGAGGAAACGCTTCAAATCATTCTCGCCTTACGCGGAAGCTGACGTCAAATCGGCTGAGCACGTGGAGTGGACAAGAGACAAAACTATCACGTCACCGAAGCATTTACTTTCCGGCGTGGTTTAGTTTTATTCAAGCAGATGTAAATTGATGGCGAGACATTCTACAGTTCCTATCCGGCGAGATCATTTTACGGGCAAATGTTTGTGTTTTTGGTTACCTTGGCCGGCATCACCTTGCTACAATCTGCTCGTGTTGTCACTAAAGGTAAGTCGGAGAAAACATTTTGACAATTTTCACGTTGTGCGAAGCAGAACTTTTCGTGTCACGCTTGAAAAGATCGAAACTGAACCATGATCGAAAAGATTGAAAAGATCCAAACTGAACCATGAACGCTAACAACGTCAGACAGAAAATGGGTAATTCACTCCCGATACCATTGTCCAGAATATCTGCGATCATAAGGGAAAAGCGAAGGTAGCGAGGGTAGAGTCGCTGCTTAATTGCTTCTAGCAGCTCTGTCTTGTTTTTGATAACTCGGCTTAGGATTAGCGTTAACACTCTGTCTTCAATATATTATTTTAATTTGGTTTGTGAAAGTCTGTTTTTAGCAGAGTAAGAAAAATAAGCTTATTTTTATATTTGCCAATTGATCTCTTCGAATCCCTCTTCGTGTTTCTACGAGAGCCTCGGAACCCGATTTCTGGTCAGCCACTTTTAAAAAATTACGATATTGATTGCTGTGTTTATGTAGGGTCAGTCATCCAAAACATGGCGCGTGTTTTTATACAAGAGGTTTTGCGAGGGACGCCATACAGATATATGGAATATATGGTCTGGAATGATCAGTGGGTTTCTTTGAAATACTACTTTCTGTGGCTATTGTGCTGCAAAATTGTCATTGAGCTCACTCTTTCACCGACCCGTTGTAGCGGCCACATCACAAATGAATTATTGAACAAAACATTTAAGCTGTGAATAGTAGTGTACAAAACACTCGTACAAAAGCCCCCGAAAATTCAATTTATTTCAGGCAATAGCATGTTTTGCTGTCATGAGAGAGAAGAAACCTTGCTTCCTTCAGGATGACGATGGCTAAGCAACGTTTATTTTCGCATTACACATTACACCAGGGGGAGGTACTCCCTGGATGTTTGGGTGGGGAAGTGCAGGGTGCTTGTGGAAACATCTACCCTATTTCAGACCAATTAAATATGCGATTTTGCGGCCTACCCTATTTCAGACCGGACCATACAAATTGACGCCTTATTTTAGACCTGAACCATCCAGGGAATATTGCCTTGGTTTGCGTACAAAACCTTGACACAGGTTTCACTTGAAATTCCCGATGTTAGACCGATGGTAGACTAAGAATGGTCAAATTTTATACCTGATTTCAAATCAACACAGCTCAAAAACCATGCCCTCTGGCGCCGGACATAAGTTTATGGTTTTAGATAAGAAAGTATCACCCCCCCTCCCCCCCTCCCCCGCAGGACATTACATTGTTATTGTTGATCGAGATAAAATTGCAAGATTAAAGTTCAGTGAATCAGCCGTTTATGTTGAAGACCTGATGGCTCGCGTGAGTTCAGCGCAGACGTCTTCCGTTTTTCAATCAGCACCAAGGTGATGACAATGGGTTACCGTGAACCCAAAGGACGGATTACGTTTCGTAGGAACTGTTCCACCGAAATATAATAAATAATCCTTCACGATTGCTGTCGAATAAGTTGTCTCGTACGGAAATCTATTCAGTACGGATGCAAATTTAACTGTGAAATTCTGAATTCCGACATTTCGTTAATTTTTAAAATGCTTCCAGAATCGATTGAGAAGAAAAAAAAAATAAACAGTTAAGATGAACAAGATAGAGAATCACGAACAGTTTTAGGACACCTCAAATTCGGATTAGTAAATCGCTATTTCTGTTTAAACCAGTGCCTTGGAACGAGTTTTTAAGATCTGACCAAGGCTCATTATGAGTTAAAAACTTTGCTGCTTTAGGCGTTCCGTTACCAGATTGAATAATTTAAAGCAGGGCCTCAGTGTTGTAATTTTGTTTATTTGGGTTTAAAAATCTACATGAACGCCAAAATCTGGTGGAGGCAAACTGAAGAAATTATTCCTAAATCGAGTTCCAGCATTGAAGAACAACTCCAGTACTCAACGAATGACAAAGTTAGAAAGAATCGTAGAACATCCCACAAGAAAGCGCGCGCTGAAAGCCATTCTCAGTAGAAACACAGCTAAGAAAACAGACACGAGCTGTCGAGCGAGGAGAATTTGCAACTTGATAGTGTAATAAACGGGTGATTTCCCATTCTTTTTCGCGCAGTGTTTTCTAAAAGAAATAGAAAACATTTTTTCTGTGCTTTCTATCGAATGATAGAAACACTCAAACTCAAAAATGTTGTGGAAACACTCGCCTGCGGCCAGTGTTTCCACAGCTATTTTCATTCTCCCAAACTTCCACTCGTGTTTCTATTTAACACTTAGATTATCAGCTCGAGATTTCCATCAGGTGATAGTTGATCAGGCCAAAGGCCAAATCAAACATTACTTGCTATAGTTCACTACTAGTTCACTTATTGGTTTAGTGACGCGATAGCTTTCATCATCAGAGAGACAAAAAAAGAAAGAGACAAAAACGCGCGAAAGAAAATTTAGAGGTGAACAGACGACAACAGAGTGTTTATGTCTCGGAAGTGTCGGTCTGAGGCCCCGTCCAAACTACTTCGTAGGAATTTGAAAACGAACCTTCATTTCTCCGGCTAGGCCTTTCGTCCACACTAACCTGTCACGAAAACGGAGCTTTTGGAAAACGCTCTTCAAACCAGAGGAATTTAAAAACGCCGGCTTTTCGTTTTCGTGTGGACAGAAAACATTTCGAAAACGGAACTTTTCGAAAACGATGACGTTACGATAATCACGTGATTTCCACGACCGAGTTTTCCGCAAACACAAACCCAAAATGACCGGTGATTGTTGCGTTTTTAAATTCACCTTTTCGGCGTTAAATTTCACGTGTAGTTTCACGTGACTTATGATGTAAACAAACCGGGAAAGTTCGGACATTCTAGTCAAACACGCATTGCTAGTGTACGAAGTTTTCAACTTCGTCAACTTCCTGTCACTACTAATACATATTTCTCTCTGCTTCAAGTCTTTGAACATAGAATAGCTTCAGCTTCAAAATGGCAGAAAAAAAGAATAAAAGCGACTTCAACGCCATGAATGTGGCAGAAGCATAAAAGATATTTGCTGAGGAGCGTGGAGTTTCAGTAAGCGAATATTTGAAAACTTCGCTCGTGGAAATCGNCCCTACACAATGTGATTCATTGATACATCTATGAAATATTTCATACTAATAACAATCTGTCAATAACTAGCTCTGCACGGCGTATACCGTAAACTGCCACTTATAAGCCCTTGGCTTATACAGCTTCGTAAGGAGTTTTGGATGGGCTTATAAACGGAGGGGCTTATCTTCTGGGAAGCTTATAAGTGTGATCTTTCATATATTCACTTGTATAAAAAAATCGTTTGAAAATGAGGTACAGCCGTGTTGATCGAAATACGTTTTTCATATTTTTAATTAAGCTTTCAAACATCGAATTCATTTTATTTTAACCTTGAGGGGGGCTTATATCTAGGAGAGCTTACAATATGGGCCTATAACCAGTAGGGGGCTTATAAGCGGGAGGGCTTATATGGTGCAGTTCACAGTATGGAGTTCAGGTATTTCAGTCTTATGAGAAATAACCATTTGAAAGTTTTTATTCCTCAAACGAAGTTTATCCTTCGTTTACGATTTTATGCAAATGTTTTGGTTCTAAGACGTTCAGACATCATTTATAAAAACAAGCAAACAAACAAACTAGTCATTGTTAGGGCCGATTTACACGGAACGACTTTGTCGCGTGCGACAAGCTTACGACAGGCCTACGACATGAATTGTATCGTGTAAATCAAACCTACAACTCGCTTACGGAGGGGGGTAAATAGGTTTTCGGATCGACGGATTTGGCTTTAAAAAGCGCACGGGGTGGATTTTTGCGGTAAATTGAGCGGATTCGCGGATTTTGAAAACACAGTGCATCGTGGATCAGCTGTGAATTTTGGCGCGGATTCCGGATTTTGCCTGTCTTGATGTTATGATCTTGGGTCCTAAACGAAATTCCAGCCTTGGTCGGTATGTTAATGAGTTCATCCAAATTATTTCTTTTTTCGAGCAAAGCTCATTTAAACTCAGGTGTGAGACTGTTCTTGGAATTGTACTGTGTTATAGTCATCAAGCATGTTGCCTTCTTTACTATTTGTGCGAAATTACTAGTAACAATGGCATTCACATTTCCTTTCCGGATGTAACTGTGGTTTCGGATTTGAACAAAAACATTGGCGGATCGGCGGATTTACATACCCCTATTCACCCCTCTCCTTACGACTGTTGTGTACGTCAAAAAAAATATATATATATCGCAGTATTTTAAAACATGTTTTAAAACGCTACGACAATCGTAGCCGAAGTCGATAGAAAATGACGTATTTTGTGACAAATTTCTACTGAGTATGGGACGAGGTGAAGTGTTCATGCGTCAAAATGGCGGAAGACGTTTCTCGAAAAGTACTGAACGGATTAAAGCGAAAAACATCTCTTTAGAAAGTGTTTTTAGTCTGCTGGCAGCCGGTTTTTTTCTCTAAGGGTCACTAGGACAAGTGTTTAGTTATCGCGAACGAAAAAGGGCGGTATGGCGGTGCCCGAGTGGGGAAGAGGTGGGACAAGGGCGGTATGGCCGAGTAGGGAAGAAGGCGTGCGTGCCGCGCCCATGTCTCGTCCCATTCCCCTTTAGCCAAAACGTCTCGCCTCATAACCCTTACTGAATTCCGAGAGAAAAACAGACTGCCAGTAGTCTAAAGTGTTTTCAAAGCACAGGACAGCTAAAATATTTTTTTACTGTTTGCTAGAACTTTCGCTCCGAAAATCCAGGTGCAAACTTTTGCATATTTAATTTTGTAAGGGAATATGTCGTGCGCGTGTAAATAGACCTAAGTCATGTCGTAAGCCTGTCGTAAGCTTGTCGCATGCAACAAAGTCGTACCGTGTAAATCGGCCCTTAGACTTCAAAAAATCGAGACTCCAAGACAGGCGGCCCTGAGAAAAAATCGAGACTGCGAGACGCACAAAGCCGCTAAAAATACGCCTAGACCCCTGAAAATTGACGATAATTTCGCGAGACCCATAGCTTTGAAGGAAAATTCGCCACCCCTTCTTTTCTGGGAAGCTACTCTACCTAAGAAAATATGTTTCCGTTGGCAGGTGTTACACCGGAAATACTAAATAACGGAACTTCCCTTGATATCAAGGATGACGACATAGCTCATTTTACGTGCACATCACGTGGGGAACCCAGGCCTCTCGTTAGATGGGAGAGAGAAGGAATAGCAGTAAAAGATAAAGACGAAGGCATAGCTATTTTGTCAAAAAGTAACGACAGTATAGAAGAAAGTCATCTATTTATAGCTGTTTCTGGAAATGGGAGGCGTGGAAAGTATATTTGTGTGGCAAGCAACGATGAAGGAGTTGCAAAACAGTCTTTCAACATTAAACGTAAGTAAAATTGTGAAACTAGCACCTGGCCAGTCACGACACACCTAGATAACACAAGAAACCAATCAGAGTTCGCTGTGAAATGTTGGCGGGAAAGCAGCGCGCGAAAAGTCGCGAACCCATTTCGCAGCTTCAAACTCAAAATTTCATCGCCACTGCACTTCCGGTTTTCTCGCTCTCGGAGTATGTAAGAGTTTGAAGCGAAAATGTGCAAGACTTATGCAAGGAAACGTTGTAAAACAATCTGTTAGAAATCAAATTACGAGCCGATAAACTAGGTGGGTAACAATTGTTAAATTTTCCATGCATTAACTTCTGGCTTGAAATTGGACGATGTCGGAAATTTCAGACGTAAAGTGGCCGTTCTGGCTGGACCAGAGGTGGAAACTGCGCAGTGCTTTTCACCAGTCTTAGCCAGTATGAGCCCTTAGCACTAAGGCCCCATTTTCATGGTCTCGAGTACCTGAGCCTTCCCCCCGGGGCAACTTTATCGAGCGTTTATATGAGAACACTTAGTCCCCATAGGCCGAGTCAAAGGCCCTCTTTACACGACCCCGGGTTGCTTTTTACCCCGGGTTGAATCACCGCAGAGAGTGCTAAAAATAAACACTTTACACCAACCCGGGTTGTCAGTCTGCAATAGCGTGTGGTTTGCTTCGAGCCTGACCCGGGCCAGCCTTTCTACCGATCAAAAACTGAAAACATGGGCTAGAAAGATGACAACCAAAAAACCTAGAAAGTATAACGGAATGGTGGGAGGTCCTGACGTACAACCCCCCCAAAACAAACAAACAAACAAACAAACAAACAAACAAACAAAAAACAAAACAAAACAAACAAAAAAACAAAACAAAAGCGGAAACAACAAGGTCATTTTACTGAAAGTACCAATCCGTGTTAGCTTATGGCCCACTGTTTACACGTAAGAATTCAAGAAATTTCAACCTTTCTCGCCGGGTCAACCTGAGTCTCGAGAAGGGTTACCCGGCAAGGGGGGCTAACCCGGCTTGACTACTGTTTCCATGTAAACGCTTATAAACATTTGACTGCAAAAGGGTTACCCGCCACGGTGATTCAGAACCCGGGGTAAAAATCAACCCGGGGCCGTGTAAAGAGGTCCTTTAAGTTGACCCTACATTATTATTCATAACCCTTATTGAATGATCAAATGTGCAACTATCCCTCTTTCTCGGTTTGAGTTTCCCTGGGTCCTTCGATCAAAGTGGGATTTGTAGAGTCAATTTTCACTTCTTTGATACGAATTTCTACTTTAAATCCTAAGCCTAGACATCGCGTGACACTCGCCACGCCGAGAGTTATCCCGGTTACTGTTAGGCGAGCCAAAGTGTTTATGTGAAGAAAAGCTGTTCCGCTTGCCAGGCTTACCTTACCTGCCGAGGCGAGACAACTCGCCCGTCCGAGTTGTCTCACCCCCTGAGACGGTTTCGCGATCCTCTTGTAAACGGTTGGTTGAATTTTGCAAAGAAATAAGCTAAACGTTACCTCGGGCAGGGTAAATCGGGGGGAGGGTTGTCACGGGTACCCGAGACCATATAAATGGGGTCTTATAAGAAGAGTACAAGTAAAAACTCAGTCTGATGAACAAGCATCAGTTGATGGGGAACTCCGGTATCTTCCCCACCGCAATTTCTGTCTCAAATTTGCTAAGCAACCGATCGCGCCACGATGCCATAGCAAAGGTGCAAGGTCAGAGCACTATCGAGTGCTCAAGGTGTTCTTTAATTGAGTAATAAAAAGTTTAAACTTTGCACGTAATAAAACAAATATCGAATGAGCTTTCTTCGTGTTTGTTGATCTTTTCAGGTGAAACAGATAAACTTTCAATCATAGATGTCGCGGCAATTTGCATATCGTTTGGACTGGCGTTGTTCTTTGTGTGTGCCATTGGGTTTTTATTGCGGCGCGGGGTAAACAAGATTAAACAATCCGAGAGGCGGCACAGAGCCAGAACGATATCACAGTCTAGTTCCTCGTGCCAGGTATGCACTAAATAATTTTGTATTCTAGAGATTTGCCTAAATAAAAACCAGCCGCTTAATTCATTCTCCGCTTTTCCCGGCGCTATTATTATTTTTAACGAGAGCGACGACAGGCCCCATCCACACTACACCGGAGAAATCTGAAAACGCAGCTTTATTTCTACGGTTAGGCCTACCGTTCACACCAATCCGTCACGAAAACGGAGCTTTTCGAAAACGCTCGTCAAACCGGAGAAATTTGAAAAGTTGCCTTGTGTTTTAAGGCGGACGAAAAACATTTTGAAAACGGAGCTTTTCATAAATAATGACTTCACAANCCCTTTCTTTACTGGCAACGGCAGATATAGGATCAGGATCCTCTTTTGTCTGACCATTTCCACCGACAAAATGTAGACTACAAATGTAACTGTCTTTCGTGCACACGAACGAGTCACCGCGGTGACATGCTTTTAACCACTTTTTGCCTTCTCTCGTTTTGTCTAACTGCGCCAGGAAAATAGAAGAACTTCACTAGATCGCCGTTTGGGTTTCTTTTCTACGATTCAGGGTATCGGGAATCGTTTTTACATGTAACAAAAGCACATCTTCTAGTCGTGACCATTCTGTTAGAACACTACTTATCGAACTCGTGTGGTTGACTAGAATGTCCGAACTTTCCCGGTTTGTTTACATCATAAGTCACGTGACACTACACGTGAAATCTAACGCCGAAAAGGTGAATTCCTCCGTCATAGTGTGGACGGAAAACATTTGATGCGTTTTCAGAGTGAAACCTCCGTTTTCATAATCCATCGGCGTAGTGTGAACGGGGCCTCAGTGATACTTGCTCCTTGGAAATTTGATGTTGTTAAAACTAGCATATTTGCCCTCGAAGCGACATTTGTTTTAAGAACATCAAAATGCCGTGGGGCATCTATCAGCTGATGGTTCCTCGACTAGAATACTATTGTTTAAATAGAAATCGAGAGCATATCATCTAATTTAGTAGAATTCTAACTAAATATCTTTCAAATAATGACTTCCAATTAACTACTCTCTACATGTATTAAGTAGTTCAGTTCAAACCATCGCACACAGATTGAACTGCTGTTTGAAATCACGCACTCAACAAGAAATTCATTGAACAATTTTCAGAGGTTTTAAAGTCACACAGCAATTCAATTTTTTCTCTCTCTTGTGAATTGAATTGTGCAGTTTTAGCATACTAGCGTTCTATCACGAATGCCGTTTTCTTATTGGCTACGCTTCTCATCATCTACTCTGCTGTAGAGCCTGACAGGACTAGCAGTGAGCGGTTGTTAAGAAAATGGCAGTCGCTTCTTTGGCTTTTCGAAGTGTCTGTGAAGAGGATTTAGATACGGCGACTAGTAGATTCCGAAACAATAAGATTATTCCTCGATTTCGATGTTTGATAGAAATCTCGAGCTCGTAATCTTACTAATACTAAGGCCATTTCCAAGTTACCTTGTGCCTCTGTTTCAAGTCAAATCTTTCGTGCAAGACCTTTCATATGATGGGCTTGATTTACATGAAAATGAACCTTAACGCGGAACTCATTTTCATATGAATGGTTTCGCGCGAAGATTCGTTTTGACAGAGAGGCAAAAGGCACTTCGGAAGTGGCCTATTGTCACATATCATAAGAGACACGATTTTCCATAGGGTCTGTCGTGATTGTATTCCACTCGGATTTTAATTTGAGAACACTTGAGATAGTTCAAATTTTCAAGGTGGTCGGACTCGATCACACTAAAACTTGGTAAAATTCGAGTGTCACAATAATACCGTAAACTGCCGCTTACAAGCCCTTGGATTATACAGCTTCGTAAAGGGGTTTGGCTGGGCTTATAAACGGGGAGGCTTGCATTGGAGGGG